TCAAAAACGACCAAAATTATTTTTTAGCCAACCTAATAGAATAATCATAATAACACAAAGTATGCAGAGAGTACAGTAAAGCACATCGTTATACATATGCTAATCTAAATACAGTCAAATTTTCAATTCAAGAATGGCTCTTGTGCATGTTTTTCTTAGCTGCTTCGATCTGCAAAGAATTTTTTGATTAGAGCATGTTTGATCAGTAGAAAAATGCGAAACGAACGTCGTTCCTCGCTCCACTGATTTTCTCCCCCATATTGTCGAGTATACCTTGCGTTTCACCTTCCTTCTGAAGACGAAATAAGGACTTTCTTGCAAACTCTTCAAAAAATAATATACGAAATTGTTTTTACCACCGTATCATGAGTAGTTTCAGCTGCATCTTTCAAAGCTTCACCAGATTCGACCAATCTCTCTTCTTCTTCTGTCGGTGGCTGCTTTGTTTTGTCGCCGATTTCTTCCTTGTGTTCATTCTGCAACTCAATTCATAGTTTATTAAGGGGAAAAGGAAAGTCTGTATCTCACGTCTTTATCCATTTTGGAAGTTCGTAACGATTATCTGAAAAGAATCCGTATTCTTATTAGCAAAAAAATGAGCCAGATATCGACTTTTTGAGAGAAATGCTGCTCCCTCGGCTACTCTTGTTCGCATGTTTTCTGTTTTTTTAATATGTTTGCAGCCATGAGGCCTTGTTTACGAGTTGCGTGGATCGGCGCGATCGATCCTCTCAAACGAGAGCAGAATGGACAACAACATAGTGGCGTCGAGAGCGAGATCTATGAGCTCAGAAGCTTCGGAGAAAAAGAATTCTCTTGGAAAATCCGAAAATGACTACAGATACGAGACTACGTGGCTCAGTTTTCGTTAGAACAGAGAAAACCCTCAATTTCCCAGAAGAGATTGTAAAAAATAATAAATTGTCTATTGTAATGCTTTGATAATGACGCTAATTCACTGGCACTTAAAATAGAAAGAGAAAGTATTGACAAATGTTTGTGAATCAGGAAATGCTCCGTGCAAAAGGTTTGTAACTTGAAGGGCCTTGATAGTTGAAGGCCAATGCGAGTCCACACGGTTGAGTCAAATGTGATAGAATTGAGTGCCTTCAAAAAAGGAAACGCGAAAAAATGTCTACTAGCTAGATATCTCTTGTGTGCGGAAATCGTTATTCGACTGTAAATGTTTAGCTAATCCAAGCAGATGTGGAAAACCGCTCACACAATGATTGAAAAAACGGACCACGCTGACATAACACCACCAAAAAATGGGCTCACACAAGCATCAGAAAACATCAGCCGCTGAAAAGCGCATATGCACGATGTAGCTCAAATCCCCTTCTATTTTGGATAGGTATGTAATGGATTTTTGCCAGAAGATTTAAGCATTCTTAGCAACATTTAGTGTAAAAGCTCAACATAGGATTTCGCCGTTGGAAAGAAAAAACCATAAAATATTGTACCAACAGCTGAAGCGGCGCTGAGAGAACAGGCCCGATAGTTATATAGTATCTGAATCGTCTGAAGAAAGACACCAGTCGATCGTCGATCAAAATGTATTTTCT